TCATAGAACTCTAAGAATTTTTTTAGAATTTTTTCAGAATTTTTTAATACCATATTTAATACCTTTAAAAAGTTGATAAAAAATTTTTAAAAAATTTATAGAGTTCTATGAAAAGAAAATGAACAATATTTTTGTCTCTTGCAATTTTTCTGAAAAGTTGACAGCATTTGAGAAAAAAATTATTGAAGACCGATATTCGGTAACTTTTAGTAATTAATCTTGTTAACTATTGCGAAAATTGCAAAATGGTAGAGGACTTTTCGACTCCTTTAGTTTAGTCCTATGCGAGAGTTTTATCGTTACTTACCAAACACCTTGTATACATCACTACTGAATAAAACACTACTATATATTGAGTCATCAATAAAAAGTAATGAGATACAATAATACGCAGCACAACAATAATCTCATTCCAAGGTCGCCACGTATTAAATGATCTCAGAATGGTAAAAAAAGGACAGCAGCTGGTAAAATTAAATTCATCTATAAAAGTCTTTTGTAACTAATACCACTTATACAAATGTTAGCAGACTTTGGCCAAATATATTTGGCAAATATTACATCTTACGTTAATTATTAATTACATTTGCGATTGAGATCTGTTTTGCAAGTGTTAACATTTATTTGCTTACGATATCTCGTGACAATGGCAATACTGTCACTTATAGGAGATACTGAAAATGACGTAAGATGCGGTGTTCTTCTATAAACCACAAGTGTCATTTCTTATCACTTTGGGTATTCAAGCATTGTAATTGTAGATTACCAAGAAAAATAATTCCACTGTTGTGGCAAATTGTGGCAAAATTATCACTACTAAATACTGCATATTCGTACTGGCAGCAACTAAATTTAATTAATAGAATTAATTCTAAAATTCATTATTAAAGCAGAATCTGTTGCGTTAATAAAAAAAATTTACTGAATATATTTCTTTTTAGAATAACGTTAATTTATTAAAGCAAAATATAATATATCTTTAGCAAATACTTTTTCTATATTGAAGCAAAACCACTTACTTACTGCTCACATAATTCACGACAAAACTACGACAAAAGAAATTTGTTATAGTAATCAAAACTTGATTTTTTATAAAACAAACAGATGCGCTTTGCGAAGGTCCTATAGTCATTTGTATTACCAACTAAACCATATATTTTTTTGTACAACAATTACAATTTTTCTCTTTCCTAGATTTTTAAAAGGATTTGAAAATCCTTGACTATAATTAAAGTATATGCATTAATACGTGTCTGAGGTGTAATTTAGCCAAGAACGTCAAAGAATTTCAAAATTGAGATCTTCATTATTTTTTAGTCCAATATGGTATTCTAGAGCTGTTACATAAAAGCTGTGCAATTTGTAATTACGAAATAATAATCTACAGATTAATAATTTGCACAAAGAAATAACGTGGAGTTCTTCGAATTCGACATAGACATCTAATTAAAACGTTACTGTTATACGAATATTTATGTGTATTATGTGTGCGTGAGATGTACTACTTTTCATTTATTATGTATATGATGATGTGTCAGTGATACGTAAATCGTCTGTGTGTAAATCCTATTTACACTATGATTATAATCGTCTTTAGGGTTCCCTTAACAGATGACGTGTTTTCTCATAAGGAAGATTCGATCATCTGTATAAAGCGGCAATTATTAGACCTATTGCATACTACTTATAAATAGATAAAGATGTATATTATATTTTTTGATTGCTCGCCTTAATGATATATAATATATTTCTGTATCCAGTATCATTTAAGCGCGATAACATGTTTGATTATAACACAAACTAACGATAATGCTGGATAAAATTATTTATTTTATTTAGTATTCTTTATGTTATTTATTTATTTATTGGATTTAATTCTTTTATATTTTTATTACATTCACTGACTGGACTTTTCTCTGCGTTGTAATACGTTGTTTATTATACTAACTTTTTAATTTATTAATTTACTTTTTTTATATTTATCTGTCTATTATTTCCACTTTATTTCTAGTTTTATTTTTTTCTTTAGGTTGTTTTACATTTTATGGAGCTCTTGCTTCTCGCGAATTTTTTTTCAAGTTTTTCCGTTTTTGCTCTATTCTAGATACAAAAGTTATGCATCTAATAATTTTGGCTTCTGATCATAGTTTATTAATTTTATGTGTCATGCAAGTAATAGGCGAATCCCTTGGCACTGCAATAAAAAGTTGTTACATGCACTTTTCGCCACATTGTGTATGGCAATAGCCATCCTTGTCGAGCGATCATCAAATATCAATTGATCTATATCTACTCTTGTCAGGCCAAAAGAATGATAGTTTACTATTAGATATTTAGAAACTACACATTATACTGACGTGAATTAGATGTGGCGATCACCGATCACAAAAACATATTCAGTTATACTTTGCTTATGTAACCAAATTGTTTCGCAACAAAAAAGTTTGGATAATAAAATAAAAATTTATTCGTTCTTATAGCAAAATAATTTGTACAATTATAGTTAGCAATATTATATCTATTAAATAACAACAATTAGCACTTTTAATAAATCTCTCTGGTATCTACATAATAACTTATAGATTTTGCTAGAATAGAGTAAGATCTGCTATATTAGTAAAATTATAACATAAAATTATGTTGTAATTTTACTAGTATAGCAGATCAAATATAAAAAAATAGAATTGAATTTTCATTAATGTAAAAATTTAAATATATTCTGGTATACATTATAATTTTTATCTAAAGATTAGATATAGAGGAGGAAATCAGTCTTTACTTAAATTATGTATGTAAGATGGCATTAATGACGATATACAATTTACAGCAATGTAATTATCGTCAAATATATTTTTAATGGGTGCCCATTTTAAAAAGCAACACTAAATTAACGGATATGTCATGATACAAATTATGTCATGTAGTCGAATTATGTTATGTGGTAATTACAATATATATCTCGTTCGAGGAAGTTACGCAAGTCAATGTCAGCACGACTGAAGCGCAAATAAGACCGGAAAGAATTTAGAAGTCATACGATAAGTTTGTAATACGGAATTAATCAAAGCATCAAGTTTTATTGAAATCTCACGCCGATTGCTAATTAGTAGGGCAATCAAAATATGCACAGGGCATGTTTTTTTTTGTTTGATTAATAAAGAAAGAAACTAAATACAAATTTGTTTCATAAGAAGTTATGCATTTTGAGCCCTATGTTACAGCATATTTTGCATCTTTCATACATAAGAGCATATTTTTGCATATTTTATACATAAAAACATATTTTTGCCACGCGTGTACAATATTTACATATTTTATCTACTTTTATTGTATATTTTATCGTTTTCTAATTTAAGTTTATGATTAATTTTTTTCTATTATAATATAATAATAAATAGGATTTCTAAAATAAGTTTTTCTCAATCAGAAATATGCTAGAATATATTTTATATTTTTGAAAAAGGAATTGTTTAGATAAACAACTCACACGCCGCGATGCATTGGTGTGCAGATGTCAAAAAAATCACAAGGAGAAAAAGATTTCGCGCTTTTATGTTCAATCTTCTATATTTCTGTGTCATATAATACATCAAAAGCTCTCTCTCTCTCTCTCTCTCTCTCTCTCTCTCTCTCTCTCTCTAGAGTCACTATAATAAATAATATGCATTTGTTTAATTTTAATGCCCCGTAAGACTAATCAAATTTTTTAAAAATGTAAACACATTTTATCAAATTTATTTTATTTTGTTGTTATAAGTGTAAAAACTTAATTAATAATTTGAAAATTTGTACGATAAAAAATAATTTTTAAATGCATATATTTCTTTCTTTAGAGTATTTTCTTTTAATTTTACGCGCATATTTTAGGCGCTCAAAAAGGAATTTTTTTAGCATAATTTTTGGGATATATGCCTTTTTTTAGAACATTCTTTTAATTTTATAGAGCATATTTTAGGCGCTTAAAAAGGGATTTTTACAGCATAATTTTGGTTTCCTTACTAATTAGTCTTTCACTTTAGTTGTGGATTCAACAGATGTTTCAGATTAAATATTTACGTGCATGACATATTATAAATTCTATTCGCTACATATAACAAAACGTATGATTTAAAAATGCAATCGCATCTGATACTTTCGAGCATCTATTATATATTGTTGATTGATTTAAACACGGAGAGATATTTTTATTTTAATCAAATTGAAATAGTTAAATTTGTTAACATTTCTAATTGTTAAAACAAAAAGAATAAATATAAAATTATACATAACCTTTTAAAATAATTAATTGCTCAAAAATTATTGAATTGCTTTATAATCTAATTAATATATAGTATCTATAGATTTAATATGAAAGAGAAAATACAAACAAATCAAGAAATGAATTTTAAATTTAAAAAGATGCGATTGCTATTACGAATATACATATAATACCTAAGACAACAGTAATATCTAAGATTTAGTTAAAGGCAACTAAAGAGTTTTAATCGTTTACTATAATCAAGAATTAAACTTTTAACCATAATCATTAATCTATAAATTTATTAAATTTTGCTTAACTTCAATCATGTTTCCTTTCACTTTCTTTTCTTTGATATAACCGAATTATGCATTTCGTTTTTCTTTTCCTTTCAATCAAAACCATACGACATTTTGATAAATTACAATCTTATCATTAATGTCACTATTATTGTTAATTACATTGTCAGATTTAACATTGTCACATCAATTTGCGACCCGTCAATTATCAATGATCCCCCGATTGTTTTTCTACGTAATAGCCTCTTTCTTATCAATACAAAATTCTCAGTAACAGAAATATATACACGCTTTATATTTGATATTCGCGTATGTATTGCTCAGCGATACAGCGGATCATCATGCTGCGAGAATGGTCCCGGAGTGGAGAACGTGACCGGGTGTAGCAGATAAATTCCGTACGTCGTTCTCAGTCAATAACGAGTTCCCAGTTAGCTCTGATCACCGCGGCTACATCCGAAGACTTATTATATCTCGCGCTAATCGAGAGACTCGCGGATGTTGGAATATACTGGACGATTTTTCCCAAGGCATACACGCACAAAGAGAAATATTTTCGAACATTTTAAAAGAAGCTGGATCGTGCAACGTAGAAAAATTATATCGACAGATTTATAAAATTTTTTAACTTGTTACGATGAAGACGATCGCTCGGACATAATAGCGAGCATTGGACGTATACGTTTACAGATCTTAAGACAAAGACGGCTCAAAAAATTGTAGATATCTTTTAGAATTGTCCGGAGCAATCTGGTGAATATTGAAAACATCGCTTAAAACAATAAAACCGCTAGTTGCAAGTTAAACGCGTTATTCTTTAAAGATCGAAGAAGGCGTTATATAAACAGACAGTTTAGAGAATAAACAATTCAACGTAAGTCGGTGTTTATTGTATGTGTATACGATGATATTATATCTAGACAAAAAATATTAAAAATGGAAGAGGGAGATGCAATCTAAAAAACTCCGCGACATATCTAAACGGAATAGTAGTTAAATTTATTTCAAGTCGTTCAACGCTTTCGCATCTTTTCAATCAAATTCCAAATCACTTCACACTCTTATATCTTTTAAATGTAAGCAATCGATTAATAATTATGATGGTTTAAAGTACCTTTCAATATGTAATATCGAGATTATCTTATTATCAAGATAAATACTAGAATCGAATATTGTAGATATATGATGTAGATAAAAGATTAAACCGCGACAAAGAGAGAGTGAAAGGTAGCACTAGTAACGAAGATAAAAAAAGACTGATATCTTTTTCTAAAATTGCAAATAACGTTTTGTGAGGAAAAATCACCGAATAGGTTACGATCGTGATATTATTTAATTGATACGCTTAATTATCAGAAAATAAAATCAAATAGAAGGAGACACCATGACGAACACGGATATTAATGACACGAACGAACGAACAAATACTAATAATGTGAAAGAACAAACAGATGTTAACAATACGAATGAATACAAGGACATTAAAAATGCAAACGAACATGTTAATAATGCGAATGGACAAACACATCTTAACAATGAGGGTATTAATGACACGAACGAACGAACAAATACTAATAATGTGAAAGAACAAACAGATGTTAACAATACGAATGAATACAAGGACATTAAAAATGCAAACGAACATGTTAATAATGCGAATGGACAAACAAATCTTAACAATGAGGGTGTGTATGTATTAACGTGCATGGAAATCAAGGTATGTACATATTTCCAGCAAGATGTAATATAAACCCAAATTTCAAATTGTATAATAATAATAAGAATATAGACTGTAACGAATAAATCTAACAAACATTAAAATTACGAATAGGCTGATACCAGATGGTAACGTAATAATTCGTTTTATTAACAATAAGGAACTCAATATACCCTCAAAATAGTTTATATTATTATGTTATTATCGAAGATGATAATAACATAATAATATAAACTATTTTGAGCCTCCCGGTACATAATGTAACTGACTGATAAAGTGATAAATATGATAAGTGTGACGTAATTAACGTTATATAGTGTATATAAATTGCATGAAATATTTTCAACGAACTCTAAAGCGCATCGTTATGACAGTGTGTTATCATGCTTTGTAAAATCTAATTAACAATTTATAAGTTAACATTAAGTAATAACATAAAATGATAAAATAAAGTGTAGATTTTTTAAAATGGAAATATGATGCGTTTTAAAAAATTGTAGTGGTCCGCGAATAAGGATCTTGTGTAGGGTAAAATTGAGTTTTATGAACACTGTAGGTAATGTAAGAACTCTTAATATTTGTAACGGTCAGTATTAGTAGTGCCAACTTTTGTAAAAAGATGCATCTGCTTCGCGACATTCTAATATGCTGCACACAAAGTTTAAATTAAATTTATATACTTTGGATATTTGTTATGTTAAATAAGAAGGAAAACATTATTTTTTATTTCTCTTACATTTTTCCCTCTAACTTTATAAGATTCTCAATCTACATTAAGACAAGATATTTTGTTCTGCGTGTTAATATTTGTAAAGTAAATAATATTGAACCATTCTAATCTCACAAAGTCCCGAAACAATTGATTTATTGCACACGGGAATTTTTCGAATAGGTATGCATGATTGTTTATAATGCGCACGTTTATTTTATTCTTTATCGTACACTGAAAAATCAGTGTGGCAAGGAGTCAATCACTATCAATCAATGTACATTTCTTTAGAAATATATTATGACAGTATAATAATGAAACAGGCAATGCTAGCAGTACTAGCAATAATACGCTAGCAATGTGCTAGCAATACATTAACAATACTTGGCAATATTGCGCAGTTGATGGCAATACATAGAATAACAATATTAACAATACAATAGCAATGCTAGCAATGTTGTATTGCTATAATTAGCAACCACTGTATGTTTTTTTAGTAGTAGTTGACTTCTTGGAGTCTAGTAACAGCTATACTAAATTATATAGAGAAAATATGCCAATCAAATGTTTAGTTAATACAACTAAAAATAATGTTATTTTTATAAATATTTGAGGAACAGACTTTCAAAATACGTTTTGTCCAAAATTTGTAATTTTCAGAAAACGAGAAAAAAAGATACTATGCACATGAAAAAATTACGTACTTTACGGAAAATAACAATATGCCAATCAGTAGGATATGAAATATTAAACAAAATTGTTAAGCAATTGCTAAAAATGTTAAACAAATGCATTTTGTTTGTTTCTAGTTAAAAAAAACATAATGCATTCCGAAATGTCTATGTTTTTTCAGCATATAAATTAATAACGAAAAAATGCTTTCTGGATATCTCAGAGTAGCTTATGATATGAGTCTTTCAACACTATGTCACCTCTAACTAAATAAATGAATTTTTGGACAAAACGCATTCTGAAATTCTATTCTTTATTTAATAAATATTACCAAACTGTAACTATTAAGTAATACTTATTAAATGTTTGTAAAAATAACATTATTTTTACGTATGTATACACACACACACACACACACACACACACACACACGCACGCACGCACGCACGCACGCACGCACGCACGCACGCACGCACGCACGCAGGGTTGGCAAGTACATAAATAATATTATTAAGAAATAATTTTGAAAATATGAATTTTATATATTGATAATTCTTTTTAAATATTATTTACATGGATAAATAGAATAATTTTATTATAAAACTTGTATGAAACATTTTTTGATACTTTGAATAGTTTTCGATATATAATAAAAAAAACATTAAATCCGTTTTACGCGCGCGCATAAGAGATAGTTTTATCACTTAAAGATACTAGAGCAATGCGATCGAACTTAATCAATGTATTACTACAGATTTTTTTAATTCCAAAATAAAAATGTTGATACCGTTAATTCATTTCTGATATTATCGTTTTATCTCACTTAAATGCATACATCTGGTTTTATCTAATATATTGCAGCACTATCTCTTGCAAGATTCGGCACCTATTTGCTAGTTACAATTGCTGCTCTGTTTTACTCTTTACACCGACTTCATTCGTACATACAAATAAAATTTTTGAATTCTTCTTCCTCTTCTTATACTAAAGTTTTTAGTTTATTTCTACAAGCATAGTTATTATATTTTCATGTAATCTCTAGTGCGATTTAAGCTTATCTCAAACGTACAAAGTCTAAAACTCTTATGTAGCACATGTTATCACGAGTCGACTGTAGTATGTAGAAATCAATGACAAAACATAATTTTTCAATTTTTTTCGTTTTTCGTATAAAATTGTTATCTGCACGCTGTATTTTTGTATTCTACATTTTAACTGAAAAAAAGATTTTTAAATTGTAAATACAATTAAAAGAGTGGAGAATTTGAAAATTAATAATATTTGATCGGTAAAACAATTCTTGCATCCTTTTAAAATTATTGTTCTAAACTAATATTTTATAAATACATCCATTTACACAATGTAAATATATATAAAATTTATAATTAAAATAAGAATTAGATACTTTTGCTGGGTTTCGTGTAAATTCGATCATCACTTAATTCTCAGCAATATTACTGGACATATTTTTATATAAAAATAATTTTATTGAGGACCAATTAAAATGATTTTTACTTTTACTTTTCAAGCATTTTCACTTTTCAAGAGATTATCTCTACTTTTAAAGATTATCAAATCTATCAATTATTATTCTTATTCCCAATGATGTAAGTTAATATTTAGCTACATGAATCTAGTTTATATCGAAATATTTATAGCGTTTTTTATTGGCAGAATCAGTGCGCATTCAGTGCACATTAAATATGTACACTATTCTAATCTAAATGTAAAGGTGAGATATTCCAATTGATAAAATGCCCAACGAGTATTTTATCAAATAACACAATAAAATGTATTGAATATTTCGCATTAATTCGTTTCTATATTTTTATTGAACATTTGTATGACGATTTGTGTACAACAGTAAAGTTTAATGTGCACTGAGAGCACACTATTTCTGTCAATAAAAATGCTTATCTTAGCTTAATATATTTGCATATGTAGCAAGTTATATCTTTTAACTCAGTAATTATAAGTGTAATTTACTTATGTTTTATTTTGTATGATACTTAAAATAGCATTATAGATGCATAAATACAATCCGCGAGTACACGATATATTCACGCACACATACATATATATTATTTATATTCAAATAAACATTCGCATATATTCCAATAACATTGAAATATTAGATCTGTCTTTTTTGTATAAAAGTTTTATAAAAATTAAAAAAATCATCTGGTATCGTCCAGCAGTTATAAAAAACAAACTTTTATTATTGCATGCGTATAGGGTAATTGCGGCAAATACGCCGCGGGATTTATGCCGCAGAAGTCAGAAAAAATAGAAGGAGTGGGGATAATTTTCCGCAACTACTTTGTTACATGCCTTTATGTTATATTAGTATTATGTTACGATTTCAGTTTCTTACTGTTAATATTAATGAAATTATTGTGAGTTCAATGGATTTGTCACACGCGTTGAGTAGCACCATCATAAATGATTACTGTAGGACGTGCAAAAGACTTATTTCGTGATACATGAGTGTAGAGGAATAGTAAAGCATGTTGCATAACAAAATATAAGTACTTTGCTCTTGTATTCTTTGTTTAGTTTGTTGTCTTGTATATCCCACCTGTTTGGGATATACGGCATTTTTAACGGGCGGGATTTATGCCCAAAGTATACAAAGTAGGAACATTGCATTCAGTGCACTAAATGCAATAAACGCATTACTTGAAATGCATACCTCATGTCATAACACTTGTAATACATGTGGAAAGATTGTAATTATTATTTATTACTTTATATACATATTTATCATTTTAATTCCTTAATAAAACTTTATTAAAACGCATTTTATAAGTTATTGTGTCATTTTATGACTTATTTATATGCATTATTTGTAAATTTTTCATGAGCCGCACATATCCCCTTTCCTCCTATGAGTAGCCATATATTCCACCCCTATGGAATATATGGCAAAAATACAAGGGTTTAAAAAAATTCATTTTTTTAATACAAAATATAAGTATTTCGGATTTCCAATATTTTTTTCATAATAATAGACAGTTCAAAGTTTTTATTGAGAGAGTTTGTTTACTTTAAACATAGTAAATAATACTTAATAAATTAAGTTTTTGATAGGTGCGGCCGAAATTACTCTATGTTCATATACACTCAGCAACAAAATTATCACAACATAAATTTATATTAAAATTTTGTATAACTTCAAGCAACTCTATGTGCTTGCATATTAATTCCATAAAAAATAATTGTATTTAAAGTTTTTTTCCATTCTTAAAGGTAAAATTTGTGTTTTACAAGTAGTGTACACACACACACACACATACGCATGTAAGATAAACCTCTTAATGACTGGACATGTATATACCTATGTGTCTAGATACACAAAAATTTATTACTATTAATCTCTCAAATGCTTTAATTTTTTATTATTGTATTATAATTTAATTGCATTTAAAGATTACAATTAAATTATAATATTACGTTTTAAAAAGTATTTGAGACTAACATTAATTTAAATAAATAAAGTGTTATATAAATGTCCAGACATAGATATGTATTAGGTTGTTCGGAAAGTAATTTCATTTTTTCTCAACAGAGGACTTATTGTATTTTTTCACAGCCAACTTCACACTTAAGCCGCATAATCATTATATATTTTGACAGCTGATATAGCAAGGCTTGCTTGTGAAAAAAGTTCGATTGATTCTACGTAGTTTTTGGTTGGTGCCCTATCAAATATGGAAAGTGAAAAGCAGCATTTTCGGCATATTTTACTTTTTTACTATCGAGAAGGTAAAAATGCTGTTCAAGCAAGAAAAAATTATCCGATGTGTATGGAGAAGATGTATTGACAGAACGCCAGTGCCAAAACTGGTTTGCAAAATTTCGATCCGGCAATTTTGATGTTGAAGATGCACCACGTTCTGGAAGGCCAGTTGAAGTTGATAAAGATACAATAAGGCATTAATTGATGCAAACCGGCGAATAACAACTCGTGAGATCGCTGAGAGATTAAATTTATCGAATTCGACCGTTCATGATCATTTGAAACGCGTCTGATTGAAAATCGTCTTTCATTTTCATAAGAAAAAACGAAATTACTTTTCGAACAACCTAATACATGTCCAGTCACTGGGACCGGACAGTACCTATGTTCGGATATCCCTATATAGTATAATAATAATAATATAATAATAATAACGTCAAATGCTTCTTCTTGCCTCCCTCTTTTCGCCTATGATGCAGATGTTAATATAGCCGCTAAACCGTTACCTCTGTTGCATGCATGTCTCATGCATGCAACCAATATGAGATTCATAATTGAGTGATGTCACTCGTGCGGGTCATGTATAGTAAGTCTTACATGGATCAAAGAGACACGTCCTCATATGAGGATGCATATGTGGTGATATGCGCGCACGCTGAGGATAATCCTCACGCCTCTTTTTTATGTAACTGATCAGCTGGGATATTTTTTATACTTCAGTTAAAAGTTATTATATTAAAGATATATTATTTGTTAGTGATTGTTTCATAATTCATTTTTATGTAAGGATTATTACATTATGTAAGAACACTTAATTAACATTTTCTGAAAAAATTATGGAAAAACCAAAAAAAAAGGAAAAAGCCTTATTATTAAATAGCTTATTGTGACAGTATTTACAAAAAATAAAGATTAGTTAACAAAACATTTTTATAAGAAGAGTTTTTTTAGGAAATTGTATAGTTAAATGTCGTAAAGACTATTATTAAAAAAATTAGACTTTTATTTATAAAAAAGACTATTATTAATAAAATATATTATGTAAAATTTATTTTATAATAACTTAAATAATTTAAAGTAAGGCTAAGTTGTTGTCATATAAAGTCATTTTTAATGCTATGTTTTCTATAATTACTAAAAATAATTCAATTTTATATTATATTTCCCATTTTTAATGATTTATTATTTTATTAATAATTATTAAATATTATTTATTATATTAAAACAAATTATTTATTGCATATTGTACATATAAGTATAAATTACATATCCTTTTTCAATAAAAATAAACATTTTGGAAAAGCTATAATCTATAATAAGTACATATGTACAAACTTTATATGTAGCCCTTGCTATTTTGTATGCATATATAAGCATACATATTTTTAAACAATAGTTATTCTTTTGTTCTATATTAACTTTTACAGTTACACATTATTATTTATGTATTATATACAAATATATTATGAATATTTATAATTTTATTTTATACTATTTAACTTGTATATTTTACATTTCAAAATTATAATATATGTTCTTTTATGTTTAAAATTTTTTATTATGTAAATGGTCATCTGGGGTGTTTTTTACACTCCAGAAGATTTCATTAGATTACTGCTATGAATAAATGCGTGATACACGCTATTTGCTATATGAATTATGTTCCTTAAACTTTGATCGAAAAGTGAGCATTGATTCCCGATCAGTAAAATAAACTACTGCAATGTGAGCTTCGTTTTTCTGACGCTGGCGTGTAGAAAACACTCCAGGTGTGCATTCTCGGATACTTTAATCAAATGTTTCTTCATTTATTTTTGAAAAAAATATAAGTGTACAGGGCACTT